ATATTATTTTTCTTTTTTAAATAGGACAAAACTATAATTATTATAAATAATAATAATTGTTACGATATAATTAAACTTGTTATATATTATTCTATAAAAATAATAATATTTAAGCGAAGAAAAAATAATAACTTTTATATTGACATAAGTTTAATAGAATGTTTAAGAGACATTATGAAAAATATTTATAAATTCTCTACTTTATTACAGCATGTAGTAATAATTGATAGCCTTATTGTATGTACTCATATTGTAAATTTATATTTTTTTAGCCTTCAATATGTATAATTTATTTCTACTGCAAAACTACTATGGTACAACCAATTCAATGGCTTTGCGCCTGAAAGTAAACTCATGGTTTTACCTTTGGCAATTATCGAGTTGAAGTTCTCCAAGAAATTCTGCGCTCTTGATAAAAGTCAGCAATTTTTTTAAGGGAGCTTTATAGGTATATATTACAATACTTTTGTTGAACATATATGCATGGATAGTGTAACTAAACATTTCACGTCCTCAGAGGTATAGCAGTTCCTTTCTCCTTTTCTAGGTTTAAGGTATGAACTATTAAGCTACTGTTCTGTAGCCATGTAATAATAATAATAACGTTTATTACTTCCCATTCTAAATATAAAACAATGTTTACAATATAATAGTTCAATATAATACAACTACAAATTAATTATAAGTTAAATATTTTATACAAACAAATAGTTGTTAGCAATAAAACAAAGAAGAAATATCCCTGATGAACAGAGGTTGTGCTCAGGAGATTACACTCATTTACACTATTTAAATATTAGTTCTACAGTACTGTCAGGTTGATATTATAAAATAAATATTGTTACAGTATTAGTATATAGTACAGTACTAGTTATATGAATTAAATTAATTAAAGAAGATCGCATTCAAAATTTCTGATCCAGTGTTCCTAAGAAATTTTATAAAAATGGACTTATTGACGTTGAATAAGTTGATTTTTCTTATGTAGGTTTTATAGATCTCGGGTAAATAGTTATATATTTTAGGAATGAAGTAAGTGACATTGTGTTTATTCCATTGATGTAGAAGCCACTAGTTTTTGGACTTCGTATTGAACATTTTTCTAGTGCTTGTAAGTTTTGATAGATTTTAATACATGTTTTATTTTTGTATGTAAGCAATATAGCAAACAAATTTAACGGTATAACATTAGAAATGCTCATGCGTGATAAAGAAGTTTTGATGAATATACTCCTTGCATGTTGTCTACATTCTGTATCTTTAGCTTTGAGCCATAGACTTCCCATCATACATTTCTGGTATGGATTTTAACAAGAACTAAGAGTCATGCCGATTTAGTACACAAGTTTATCTGTTATTTACAAGGTCACAGCTCTTGTCAAAATCCATTACCTTTAGTGTTGTCATCTCTGTTTCTGACATTATTTTTGTCCTCTCTGTGTTTATGCCGAGTATGTCCATTATTAGTTTGATGACTGTTTTGTAAATTCTGCCTTTCATTTCTTTCCCGATATTTATTAATTTCTCCATATTGTTTCATTCAGGCAGCCTGCGGCTCTGTTTTGCTCTACTCACTTAATCTTCCACTTCGGTTTCGATCTTTCCGTAGCTAGATAATGTGATGCCTAGATTTAAACTCCATCACTTGTTCTATTAGTCTGGCCTTCTAGCTCCAATTTATATCTTAGTAAATTTGCTGTTATAACCATATATTTTGTCTTTTGGGAAATTAACATGTTCAATTTTCTGGCGATTATATTAAATTGGTACAGCATACGTTTTCAATCATCTTCACGTATTGTGGCGTCTGCGTAGGAGATTATTTTAAGTTGTTTTTCTCCCATTTGGTATCCTTTTGTAGTTTCTACTTTTTTAATATTTCATTTATAATCATGTTAAATGATACAGGACTCTGGGAATCCCCTGTCTTTATCTCATTACCAGCTTCAATAGGTCAGTTAGTTCTTCTTCTACTTAACTTTATTGAATTGTTTTGGCAGATATTTTCGATCGTTTTGATTTGTTCTTCTGTTATAAGTTTTACAGTGTTATAATTTCATTCAATTTATTTTATATAACTTTTGTTGTTAATTTTAGTGTTGTGTTTTAATAAACTAATTACTCTCGTAATTTCTGTAGTTAGATTTGTCTCTCTTTTTTAAAGAAGGACTCAGTTAGTAGGATGCTTGATCTCGCATTCCTTTAGGAATTCTGTTTTGTTCTATTATTTTTTGGGTTAGTTTTAGCATGTTGTTTTGGTAGATCTGGTCAATATTCTGCCCTCTCCTCTCCTTCCCTATCTAGTCAGGATGATACTTGACAAAAAATAAAAACATTTTTTAACTATAATCACATAAATACTCTACTAAAGAATATCTTTATTTTTGTTTTTTAATGAGTTTCATCTTAGATCCAAATAAACTAATAAGTGAAAGAGAACGTATTAATAGTTGAAAGTTCTTCTCTAGAACTGCAGAGAATATTTAATAACCTGTTCCATCTATTTAAAAAAAAAACAAATTAGACTAACAAGATCATCATGAATTTGTTGTAATTTAAGTTTTTTGTTGTTTATTGACAAAAAAATTATATTTTTAATCATTTGGCCATAAATTGATGTACCATCAGTTACAATCTGAGGTTGTCAGTGAAAAAACGCAGAAATGTAATAGGTCCTTAATACTAATTTACGTATATATATGTCGTATTATACATTAATTCTTGTTATTAAAGATCCAATTCCGATTGTGCTTTAAGAATTTTATCCGTTTAATGAATATTGTTCACGATTTTTTCATTGATCTTTATTTCCTTAGTACTTACCTTTTATGGCTTTTAAGAAGATTTCTTTAGAATAAACAATAAATAGAAGGAAAAAAAGGGAAAAGGGATATATCCCTATCTAACACCTTTCCTGGTACTAATTTCCATTGACCTGGTAGCTTTTACTTTTATTCTGGCTTTTAGGAACCAGCAGATTTGTTCTCTTCTTCTATCAATATCCCTGTTATAAAGGTATTTTATTATGTAATTATTGTTTACTCTGCAAAAAGCACTTTTTAATTGATTGAAATAAATGTATACATCTTTCTGTTGATCCTTGAATTTTTATGACACAACTTAAACACAGAATAACCCTTTTTAGTGCCGATCTCCTTTTTGAATCAAACAGTTTACTCATAATGTTTTCGGTGTATTCTGCTCTGTATTATCGTGTTTTTGGGAAAAGGAATGAATATTGATTTCAGCAACTTCTCAAACTAAAGTTATGTACAATACATGGTTTTACAAAATTTAATAAAATAAATCAAAATTAGACAAAATTTAAAAATGAGCTTTCGTGTACGTTATAATCGTTGGCCTATTAGGGAGCGATCCCTTGTCGTGTTTAATACTCTATTCTACATTCCACTCTTCTATTTTTGAACCCAGTCCATGATGTTCTCCTACTTTGTATCTCTATCGTATATTTTCACTTCCAGCTTTGTCCCATAGTATCTTACCATCAAGTTTTCGATAGGGTTTTCATTTCTGCTGTTTCTAGCATTCTTTTTGTGTCGGGTGGTACATCTGCTACATATTTCACTACTAGTCTGATGACTGTTTTGTACATTTTGCGTTTCATTTCTTTCACGATATTTTTATTCCTCCATATTGATTCATGCAAGCATACTATGTGTGATGCCCAGATATTTAAAATCCATTACTTCTTCTTTTATCTGTTCCTCCATCTGCAATTCATATCTGAGTATATTTGCTATTATAACCATGCATTTTGTCTTTTTTGGTGAGATTACCACGGTAAATTACAGAAATATCAAAGAATATTATTTTTACAAACTCCTTCTGATGACGGGTAGACCCAGAAACACGTGTCAGGGAGTGATAAGAGACTCAAATTAAATCCAAACGCAACCTTCTTCGTATATTTATCGTTCTTACTAGACGCAATGAGTACAAGAATGATGGTAATTTATATGGGTAAATTGTTGGTGCATAGTGGAATATAATTATTCCCAGCACCGCTCTAAATGGCTTGATTAAGCTTGGGTATACAGTTTACTTTAATTGCTATCGACGTATCTTCATCTTTCCTCACTAGAGGTCTCTAGTTGCATACTCTGGTAGTTATTTTCCTGTAATTGCCAGAGTAGTCGGAGCGTTTTGATTTGGTTTGAGTCTTCTTACAAACTCCTTCTGATGACGGGTAGACCCAGAAACACGTGTCAGGGAGTGGTAAGAGACTCAAATTAAATCCAAACGCAACCTTTAACCTAACCTAACCCAACCTAACCTTTTTCGGATATTATTTTTATCAGTTATTGTTTTATTTGTTCTTAGCTGATTCGTTAACTTTAGACCTTTTCTGTCATCAATTATTTTTAATGTCATTTTCTCTTGGTAATGGATTTTTGATGGACTTTTGTCCATCCAGCTCCATATATTTTAAAGTCTACGATCTTGATTTTCTCTTTATCGGAGTTCACTGTCCCGTTAGCAGCTTCTTTTGTAATATGATCTTTGGGTAGTTTCACCCATCCCACTGCAGGTTCCTATGATTTCCTTCCTTTTTTGATTGACTTAAGTCTTACCAAACTATCAGCAATAATAGGATTGTGGTCATAATTAGTGTTTAAGCTACGTTTTCACATTTTTGTTACTAATACTGAATCAATGAAATTATTATATAATCAATTTGATTTTGCACAATACTATTGCCGTTATCTTCAGTGGATTTTCAAATGTATAAAGTGTCTGTTATAATTATACATTTTAAATGAGCATCAGAAGAGGAATAAGGAAGGGGAAAGACGAATAATGTATTAACCTAATGAGATTTTTTTTAGTATAATAACTTACTAACATCCTTTATAATGTTAGTATTTGCTTAATATAAGTATTTGGTAGCAAATTCTAATCACCCGGATTATTTCGAAGGTAGGGACGCTTCCACGCTAGTTTATTTCCTTAGTAGGTAGTATAATCTTACGGAGTTCGCTGTTCGCTATCTACAGTGCGTTCTGGAACTGAGTATTGCGGTCACGGTGATAATACCGCGAGCTTGAACTGTGTGAATTGATATTATTGTTAGTTTAAAGTGCATTCGCTATTTAACTTTTTTATGTAAATCGTTTGTTCATTTAAAAGTAACTAGTGTCATTAGATATTCTAAAAATAGGTAAGTTGGAAAGTACTAGATTATTTTAGTTTATAATTGTTTTCATTAGTTTTATTTTGATAATGTCCATACATTTAAATTGTTTTCTTAAAGGAAATTTTATAAAAAAAATACCAATATTTTTCATATAGTTTTTCTTTTTCTGTTTTTGTGTTTAAACAGCTTTAATTACGAATACCATCATTTCAACGTGACTCATTTACTCCTTTAGTTTCATATTCTTCGATTTGGAAATGCAACAGCACAGTTGTTTGGTAGAAGATTACAACGTCTTTAGACAGGATTATTCAAATCGGAAAAATTATAAATGTCAATTCTTTCTTGTCTCAGTTTTGTACCAAAATTATAGTTCCATATTCTTCTTCTGGCAATATGGTTGAAGTAATTTAGATATGGTCCGTTTATTCTTTTAATAGCCTATCTTTTATATTAAGCTCTTCGAGAATTGATGGTTGGTTCTATGTTCTGTCCAGGACACGCATACAATTCTTCTGTAGACCCAGATTTCGAAGGCTTTGATCTTACTTGTATCGATTTTTTAAACGAGTCCATGTTTCAGCTACATATGAAAAAATGGGTATAGTGTATTTTTATGTATGAGAGAGTAATAAAACAATAAATTATGTATGTAAATCCCTAAACTGTTGATACGGGTGACTCAATGAAAAACAGATATTTGTCAACAAGTTTACAGAAGTATATAGAAAACAAGTTTTAAATTGAGTATGACCACCAGGTATAAAGGTTGGAGCAGAATAGAATACAATAGTTGTGAGGGTTACTAATCCCTAAATAAGGTTGCCAGTGTCGGAGTGATGGAGGTTAACAGGTACTAATGAATTTGCAAGAAATGTAAGATGTTTATTTTATTGGTTATATATAACCAATAAAAGTTTAATAAGTACCTACCTATTTGCAAAATAAAGTTTAATTCTTTAGATAAAATAAAACGTTTTATTTTATCTGAAATGAGTGCATTTCACGAAGTAAGGGTTTCAACAATCAAACATTTAATTCTTTAATTCCAGGAATCTACGACAGTAATTGACTAGATAATTACCTTCTAAACTTATTCCACAGAAAATGTGATAGTGGGTTTTTCCATTTTGTAGGAAGGTCCAAGTGGCGTATTCAAAATTCTTAACAGTTCACTAAAAGTAGGTACTTCAGTTGCAAGGTGCAGTTTATTGTGTATACTAGTGTTATGGAAAATTTGGAAGTGCCGTGTAAACGCCGAAAAATTGGTCCTTTAACAGTTAATGAAAAAACATTAATATTTAATTGTTTTAAATCATTTACAGACAAACGTTTATGTGAAAGTGTTGATGAGACCGTTGAGTTAGTTAGCAGTACACTTGGTGTTGGGAAATCTACGATTTACAGAGTTATTAAAGAAGAGAAATGTGGTAGTTTTCAAATGCCACGTAATGCTCCAGGGAAACCAAAATTTCAAATAGAATATCATTTTAAAGAAGGACTTCGACGGAAAGTGCATGAATTCTTCTTTAGACAAGAATTTCCAACATTGGATAAAGTTCTTGTCTCAGTTCGAGATGATAAGGATTACCCAGAAATGAGTCGAAGTACGTTATGGAAACTTTTAAAAGAAATAGGCTTCCGCTGGAAAAAGAATCCCAGAAAGTCTATTTTATTAGAAAGAAGCGATATTGTCATATGGAGAAGACATTTTCTAAGAACCATAAAGGAAATGAGAAACCAAAAAAGAAAAATATTTTATCTTGATGAAACATGGATCAACGAGGGTCATACACCAAATAAATTTTGGCAGGATGAAACTGTTACAAGTCAAAGGCACGCTTTTGTAAATAACTTATCTACTGGTTTAAACCCACCATCAGGAAAGGGACGCAGGCTGATAATAGTACACATTGGCAGTTCAGACGGTTTTGTTGAAGGTGGTTTATTAACTTTTGAATCAACTCGTACCGGTGACTACCATGAAGACATGAACGCTGATGTCTTTCAAGAATGGTTCGAACAAATGATAGATCTTCTTCCTAAGAACTGTGTAATAGTAATGGATAATGCAAGTTATCACTCCAGACTTATAGAAGGACTGCCCACAACCAAGTGGTTAAAAAAAGACTTGCAGAATTGGCTGAGTTCAAAAAATATTACGTACCATCCCGGATCTATAAGAAAGGAACTTTATTCGTTGTGTGCCCTTCATAAAGAAAAATTTAGAAAATACGAAATTGATGAAATTGCCAAAAATCGTGGAATGACAGTACTTAGATCCCCACCATATCATTGTGAATTAAACCCGATTGAACTGTTATGGGCACAGATAAAGAGTGAAGTTTCAAGAAAAAATACCACTTTTAAAATTCATGATGTTAAACAGTTGTTTTTGGAGGCCGTAAATAATGTAAAACCTGAAAACTGGGAAAAGGCAGTAAATCACACTATTAAAGAAGAGGAAAAAATGTGGAAGCTGGACAATATTACTGATAAAATGATCGAGCCAGTTATTATAAATCTTGGTTCTGAAAGTTCATCTTCTGAATCTGATTTGGATTTGTAACAAGTAGCTGTAAGTTTTATATTAATATTTTTATTCATCTATTTAACATACCTTAGACGGTTTTAAAAACTCTTTTTCTCTTTTGTAATTTTTAAAAATTAAAAAAAAATGTGAATTTTTTAAAACCCTTTTTAATGTAGGCCAGTCAGTTCTAATATAGTGTGTGATAAAAGAGGTCACTTTTGTTTACATACACATAACACTTTATAACACTGAAATAATTCATTTATTTTTTACAATTATTCAAAGTAATTTTTCAATTAATCTTGAGCACACCCATGGAGTGGTCGGAGGTACCAGTTAAAATTATGCTAATTACTCTCTCGTTCATAAAAATAAACTATAAAATATTTGAACATTGACCAACCTGAGCTTAGTATTTCTTGTTATTGTTCGGGCTTTCCATATTTTAATGAATTTAGCTGTTGCGGTTCAAGCCATTTGCTAGTATACGCTTGATTTCTGGAGAGCTATCGCCATTGTTGGTTATTATAAAGCCCAAGTAGACAAATCCGAACAGGGCAAGAATGAATGCCCTCTAAGAGGAAGAAATGTTAAATTGTATTGAACCGGCCGTTAATAGTAAGAGTTAAGAGGACCAAATTAAAGTATGATTTTTATTCTGACCCAGACAATTGTTAGAAAATAAATGAAGTTCAGTTACTGAATCTGAAACATTTTGTTCAATGTAGTCTACAAAAAAAGAAGTTACATCATTTGCTCCTTTTTTTGCTTGTCCTTCGTGATATAAGAAAAACTGAGCATTCTCAGTTTTTAAATTGTAAACACAAAAATTGTTCACAGTCGACTGTTGAAGGTAGTACATCTCTTGCACTGAAACTTTTGGAAAATCTACATTTTGCATAAAATCAAAAACAAAACCCAAAATATTGGCACTTTGTTTTGATAATTCTTTAGAATTCGCCAATGATGAATAAAATGGATTGGCTTGACGTTTTTGCATCATTAGTTCTGCTGCAGAAACCTTTTTTGCAGTTTCATTAAGTCTAGGGTCTTTGATCCGTTTATTGTTTTCCTCGCAAACGTTACATGTATGACTAGGCGGCCGGCCAAATCTAAAATTAAAGTTTTTCTTAAAGTGCTATGATAAAAACTATACTTAATATGACTTTCAGGATACGTTTCACGGAATAGTTCATGCATTTTTTGAATTGACAAACATTCACTTAGGTACAAAATATCTTTATAATGCCCTTCTTTTGTTGGAAAGGAACTAATATGATTGCGTACCTTGACAGCAGTAGCGCACACAGGGGAGGTTTTGGGGTTAGGGCCCCCCAGGACCCTATTCCGACACTGTTATTCACAAATTTTAAGGACTTAAAAAAATGGTGAAGGTGGCATAAAAAAATTTCGGTGCCCAACTAAAACCCTCACCAGAGGAAAATTCTAGGTGCTTCTACCTGCCAGAAGGACATGATATTTGAATGAGTGTTCCTTCAATGTAGCGTCTGGTTGACGAGCTCGATGCTGTTTAACTTCTGTTAAATCAATCATTCTCTGCAAGTGAATGTCTTGTTTGTTTTTAGTATTCATACTATACAACACACTAAAAATATTGCCTTTTCAACATCGTCAAATTATGTAGAGCATTTTTTTGGGACACTTAGAAACACAAGAAGAAAATAGTTAGTTGGTTATAAGGGACTAGATAGTAGCTTATCTGTGGTTTAGAGGTTAGTGATCATTCATAAATTGTACAAACACTTTCTGTGAAAAAACAACAAGCTCTGACAACGTTGATAACATTGAATATTACATTATGAATAATTTTACTTGCAAGGTGATATGGTCCTTTTCGCTTGTTTTGGTTTCCCACCATAATCAATGTATTTTTGTCCAGAAATACGAGCTAGTTTTAAAACGTTTCTTTTATGTTGTTCTACATTAACAACACCTTTTCTCCGTTTCTGTTTCTGGCATCTTGAATGCCTGTCATTGTCACTATCACGCATTCTTGAAAAAAACTAAAATGATTTAAAATTAACCAATATCGCTTCTAAATAACAATAATTAACTTAATAATAGTTCCCAATAGTATTCCACACTGCAGCATAACCTCAAACAACAATAATATTAGGTGGAGTAGACAAGATGCAGGTTTGCCAACTTGCTACTTTAGTGCAGAAAAGTACCTCAGTTACTGACTTGGGTCCTTTTCTGTAGTAAACGAAAAGTACGCCATACGATTTCTGTATTATAATAAAATAAATCGGATCCCTTTCTACTACAAACGATGTGTCTACCATCATAGTGAATGAATGAACTCTTAACACAAAATCACAAAAAACTGACTTAGGTTCCTTTCTGAAATAAGCTGTTTATATTTATTAAAGTGTTGATAAGTTCCTATTATAAAACCAAACAATTTTTACGTTAGACACTTAACAAAAAGCGTAAAATGGAATATTTTAACTTTTATAGTTTAATTTAT